CATTCAGGAGTCGATCCCGCCTGGGGTTGGCCACTCTCCCTCACTGGGTCTCTCAAGTGGAAGGCAGGTGTGCTAAGTTAGAGCACTAAGTCCCCCCAGGGCCCCCCTCCCCTTTCCCCTGGGTGGGCTTGGGGTCCCTGGCCAGTCGCCCCCCCCACCCCCCCAGTCACACTTGCGCTTTGCTTCTTGGCCGGCTGTGGGCAGGCCTTTGGAAGGTAGCCGAGTTGCCCCATCTGGCCCAGGAAGCCCCCCACATTTCTCTGCCCTGGTGCGTCTGCCACATCCCATCTCCCCTTGTCCCCCTGGGTATGGGGTCTCCTCACGGTCATCCCTGTGTGCCCTGATCAGAGCACACGGCCCAGGGCCCAGGATGCCTCTGAGAGGCCGGGCGATCAGAGACGGGCCCAGGCTGGGCGTTGGGCTCCGGGACCCTCGGCTCCAGTTCCGGCTGACGGCGGCGTGTGCCCTGCAGGTGGAGTACGTCATCAAGTGCGACATGTCCGCGCTGCAACGGGTGCTTTACCGGCACATGCAGGCCAAGGGGGTGCTGCTCACCGATGGCTCTGAGAAGGATAAGAAGGTTGGCCCGGGGCCCCCCTTCACCCCCGGGTGTCCACGGCAGGCGCGCTGGGGGCCGCTGGGTGCGGGGCTTGTGCACACTGTAAGCAGCAGGCTCTCGCCTCCTCGGAGGTGATAGTCGTGGCCGAGGCCCCATCTGGCCGTGGTCCCGAGGGTGTTGACTGGGCCTGGCTTAAGTCACAGCTGGTGTGGATGGGTCCAGTCCATAAGGCTGAGGGGGCAGAGGCTGATGGCCCGTTTCCAGGGCGGCCCCCGAGCCTCCCAGTCAGCAGCCTGGGGTCCTCTGCTCGTGAAGTACTCTCTCCCGTGGATGCATCAGTCGGCATTGGGGGGCCCAGCACGGACCCCAGCCGTTAGAATATTCTAGGGAGTCCCACCTTCCCAGCTGGGAAAGAGCCTCGATGGCCAGGGCCACTGAGCCCGTTTCCCTCGTCATTCTGTGGCGTTGGGGTGACGTTCGTTTACGGTGGGGAGGAGTGGGAGCTGGGCAGGCTGCTGCGTTCTGGCCCCTCGGAGGCCCTGGGCCCCCCCGCCCCTGCTCCCCTCACCGGGACTGCAGCTGTCCTCCCAGGTCCCTCGCTTCTGCCCCCGCGGCCTCGGGCTTGGCCCTGCCACCCCATTTTCTCTTCCAGATGTTTCGTTTGGGCCCCTTCTTGGCCCACGGCACCCACCCCGGCATCCTTCCTTCACCCCGTAGCCAGAGATCTTCCTAAGCCGTCTGGCTGCAGCCCCGCCCCGGGGACTCCCTGCAGTGCCCACAGAGCTGGCCTCACAAAGTGTTTGTGATCCACCCTCAGCTCTTTGGCAGTCACGTTTCCCCTGTGTCCCGCCGCCCCCCCACCTCCCAATTCATCACACCACCACCACCCTCCACCCTCCACCCTCCACCCTCCACCCTCCAGGGTGCCAGGGGGTCTCCACTTCCCCCAGCGCTGGCTTCTTGCTGGCTTCAGGCCTCTGAGCCCCGACAGGAGCCAGCTGCACACGCCCCGTCTCCTCTGCCACAAGCCACAGCTCCTCTCACGCCCTTCTTCCACGCCCCCCCCCACCCTGCACCACCGCGGGACAAGACCGACTTGGGAGCCTCTCTTCTGCCTCCTCAGGGCAAAGGTGGCACCAAGACCCTGATGAACACCATCATGCAGCTGAGGAAGATCTGCAACCACCCGTACATGTTCCAGCACATCGAGGTGAGGCCCAGGGCCGGGGCAGCAGGCCCAGCGGCACCCGGAGCTCGTGGGCCTCAGCCCTGCACAGGGCCCTGCTCTCAGAGGGGTCTGTCTGTGCCTAGCCCCTAAACAGAGCTAGGTCGCTTCTCTCTGGCAACTTTAGAGGAAAAGCTTGTAAGGTTTAGACTAGGTGATGCTTGTACATTTGTCTTTTTGTGGATTTTTTGTTTGCAAGCGCTTGTGTATTGTAAAGAATCCAAACTGGGGAAACATGCAAGAGAAATGAAAATCCCACCTCAGGTAACCGCCGAAGCCTTCGGAGGCTGTTCTCTGGAGTCGTTTCCCCCGCGGTGGGGTTGTGCTGCCTCTGCCTGTTGGTTACTAGCCTTCCCCACTCGGGGACACGTGGGGCCATCCTGGGCAGAGCACGGCGAGCAGCGTCCCTGACGGCTCTGGCCATAACCTTCTGGGCCCGGTACCCTTGAGAGTCTGGATGCTTGCTTCTGGAAAGCGCACACATGTCCGTACATTCTGGCATAAAGTTCCGGGGTCATGCCAGAGGCCCCGGGGCTTCCATTTCAGCTCACCAAGCGTGGTCTCAGGCACGCGCCGTCCTTGCGCGCTCCTTTCCGTGGTTAAGAGTGTTAGGTCATGGCGGAAGGGATGTCAGTGGGATAGAAAAGCTGTGTTCAGCATCTGCTTGTGGCCTTGGGGCCGCCGTGGGCGATCGCTGAGCATGGGTGGGAGGGCTCGGAGGCGTGGGGCCTGGCCGCCTTTTCCTGCCCTGCACTGACCCGCCTCTCATTCCATCGCAGGAGTCCTTTTCCGAGCACTTGGGGTTTACCGGTGGCATCGTCCAAGGGTGAGAATCTTCCTAGCTTAACGGGGTGGGCAGCCCATCTGTGTGCCAGTATTTCTCTCTTTGGTTGGCTTTATTTCTGTTGTTAAACTTGTCTAATTTCAAAGGCAGTATATTCCTGGCAGAAAACTTTGAAAACATAGATGAACCCAAAGAAGAGAATAAAAATTCTCCACTTGGAGAGGTGACCACACCTGGCTTCCAGGCCCCACCTCTGGGCTCTGTGACCTGTGACAGCTTTCCTAACCACTCTGAGCCTAAACTCTGCCCACCAACAGAGGGATACTCTTTATACGGTGCGCCACGCACCTTGGCTCTGGGGGTGTTTTATCCAGCGTTGTTTATAAAGCGCAGCCCAGGCATCGTTCAGCCCTGGTGTTGGGACACAAATGCTGCCTCAAGGTTTCACCGTTAAAACATTCTTAACGCTAAAGCCACCATTATTTCTCTGGAATAGTGAACTATTTCCTAGAGCAGAGGCACCGAATGAGAGGGCTAAAGGTTCTTTAGCTGTATAGTTCTTTATACCAAATTGCATAATGGGGTCCCACAGACCTGGGTTTGAGCCCGGCCCTGGCAGGTCAGCAGCCGTGTCACACTGTCCCCCAGCCTCAGTTTCCACATCTATAAACCAGGAGCGAATGACAGAAGTTGCAGTGGCCCTTAGCCCTGTGTGTGGTGCGGTGTGGGCACTCTCCACTGGGAGCCTCTGCTCTTGGAAGGTTCTTAAACAGGAGGCCTGGCTTCCCGGGGCAGCCCCTGTCCGTGCCCATTGTCCCAGGATCTTTACTAATAAATAGCACCTTCTTTCGCTCTTACAAGTATCCAAGTTGGTCAGTAATTTCATGACCAAGTTTATTTTAGTTGGGTTGAAATGGCTTTGCTGAAACTTTGGTGGGGGGGGGGGAGGGGGCGGGGGGCAGGCGCGGGGGTAGTCTGCCAAGGAAGCACTTGTGCGCCCCCGAGCCTGGTGGCCAGCCTGCCTAGGCCGGCTCAGGTAGCCTGGGCGTGGGAGCGCACGTCCTCCTTGAGCTGCCTGCAGGGCGCTGTGGTTCATGTGGTGTGTGTGTCCTTCCCCACCCCCTCCACTCCGCAGGCTGGACCTGTACCGAGCCTCGGGGAAATTTGAGCTGCTCGATAGAATTCTTCCCAAACTCCGGGCCACCAACCATAAAGTGCTGCTGTTCTGTCAGATGACCTCCCTCATGACGATCATGGAAGACTATTTTGCGTATCGCGGCTTTAAATACCTCAGGCTCGATGGTGAGTACGATCGAGAGAGACGTTTGTTAAAGGGCGGCCTCGTTATCCGCTGCTGCCAAAGCTTCTCTAGGTCTAGCGGCAGGAGTGGGCATAGCGGCTCACTCAGTGGCACAGGCTTGCGGGAATGGGAGGGAGGGCCCTGGGAGTATCATGGCTGGATCTCCTGAATGTGAGGCTCATGGTGTTTGCACCATAACGCTGCGTCCAGTGGTTAAGGGTTGCTCTGCGGTCCTGTTGTGGTGGGAAGTGACAGAAACCCATATCCTGTCGGCATAAAGAAGGAAGCCTTGATAGGCTCACATAACTGAACCTCAAGGGTTGCTTCAGGCACAGCTGGATCCAGGTGCCCAGATGGTGTTAAGAGGGGCTTTTCTGGAGCTCTTGGCTCTTTTGTCCTCCATTTTGGCTTCACTCTTAGCCATCCCCTCCGGGCTTTCCTTCCACCTGCTCAGTGTCCCGAACAGAGAAGCAGCTTGTCTTTTCCCTCAGGGGTCTGGGGGTGAACTTTCATTAGGCTGCTGTGAGCGACATGCTTTTCTCTCCGCCGCCTGGGTGGCTCTGGAGCTGGAATCGGGCCCGTTCATGCCGGAACCGTGAGCACTGAGAGAAGCAGGAAAGGAAGGGAGGGAGGAAAACCGATGCTGCAGGGGTGATAGCGGCGAGTTCCCTGGGAATAGCGCTGACTGTGACCACATGCACTCATAAGAAGCCCTGTTTCTGCCTTGTTCCCAGCGCGCAGGAGCTCTGGGGAGGAGGGTGCTGAGTGAGATGCTGACGGTGTGCAGGACCCCTGCTCTGACACGTGTCAACTGACCGGGAAGACCCTAGAGGGAGCCCCCCACCCTCTGTCAGATGGAGTGAATGGGGCCCTCGAGAAAAATGAACTTGGGGGCCTCCAGGGTAAACACAGTTAAGAAGTGTGGGATAAACCACACTTCTCAGAGCCTTTATCTAAGCTCGTTGCTATGTGCATCCATGGCCAAACCTTTTTGCCCCCATCGTGTCTTTCACGGTACATCTTGTGGAACTGTGGTTTTTTTTCAGACCCGTGGTTGCTGGGCGGATCTGTCTGTCGGTCTCTGCCCTCCCCGCTCCCACCCAGAACCTTTGCTGCATCCCTGTCTTGCCTTCCTTCGGCCTGTTCTTGGAATTCTGTCCAGGGCGCCCTTTACAAACACAGCTGTGGTCAGGTCCTCCCTTAAACCTCCCTCCTTCAGGTGCTTCCCACGGCTTGGAAGGCCTGCGTGGCCAGGCTCACCTCGCCCCTCCCTCTGTGTGCTGGCCTCCCCAGTGGCCTCTCTGTCCTCCAGCGTCTGAGCCTTCATGAGTGCTACTCCTTGTCTGTGTCACTGCCCCGACCCCTAGAGGACAGGTCGAACGTGAAGAGCGTGTTCCCACCCACCCCAGCGCCCATCCACTTGCCCGCCCCCACCTCCTTTTTTTTTCCTCCATGATGAGAGTCCTCTATCTAGGATGAGGACTTTTGTTTGCTTGGCTGTGGCTGCATCTCTGGGCACCTCCTGTGGTCACTGCCACATGAGCGGAAACTCCGGGAAAGAAGGGCAAAGGGGGGGAATTCCCTGGCGGTCCAGTGGTTAGGACTCCTCTCTTCCACTGCAGGGGGCCCAGGGTCAGTCCGTGGTCGGGGAACTAAGGTCCCGCGTGCCACACAGTGCAGCCAGAAGGAAAAAAAAGAACGGCAAGGGTGGAGGCTCGGTGACACGTGGAGTGGAACCTTCTCCTGTCAGAATGC